TCTGAACATTACAGGTTATCCCTTTTCGTGGGAACCAAAACATAAAAAAAAATCAAAAATACTCACTCAAATATCACAAAATACAGTTACATAGAGGTACCTATAAGATTTGAGTTTATCAAAAACAGGAACGAATAATAAAAATGAACAACAAAAATACAAAACAGCTAAAAAATTAAACGTAAGGAACAAACTATTATTACAGAGGTATATAAAAAATTTGAATTTGATATGAATCAGATAAGGTATTGTCCTTTTTCAATTTATACGTATCATTAGTACCAATATGCCTACATTTAATATTCATTTTGTAAAATTAATTTACACAGAGCGTGTCGAAATATCATGCAATTTATGAGTGTATGTGATTAACTAAAGATTGATAATAATACAGGTAATTATAATAATACAGGTAATTATAATAATACAGGTAATAACGAGGGTAATAATAATAATGAATAAATGTCAAAATATTTTCCAGGAAATTATGAAATGTTTCAGTAGATTAGTAGATCAATATGCAAATCAGGAGATCTACTGAAAACTAGAGGTCGGCAAGACAAGAATTCTTGTCTTGATTACAACTTCTTGTCTTGTCTTGAGAAAAAGTCAAGAAATTTTAAAAAATCTTGTCTTGACGTTTTCTTGACATATTATATCTTGTCTTGACTCAAGAAATTCGGAGATCTTGAAATTTTTTGATTTACCGGTGACACTTTACATGGTAATTATCATTGTATCTTGCGTTTTGCGTGCTAACACGGCAATCTGGTGGTTCCCCGATCTTTATTTATTGAATGATCTACAGAATCCAATACCAGAACCAGCACTGAGTCTTGAAAAAGAAGATAACAAATTTGATTTAGATATTACTTACCTATTTAAGAGAGCTAATAATGATCACTCAGATTCTTGGAAGTATGAAATTGAAAAATACCTAAATTAGCCTAGGACAGAAAGTTCTGAGAATATACTTGATTGATGGAGAAGACATGAAAATGTCTACCCGTCGTTATCGAAAATGGCCAAGGATTTTCTCGGAACGCCAGCAACACCTGTACCTGCGGAAAGGCTATTTTCAAGAGCAGCTTTAACAATAACAAAGCCAAGAAATCGGCTAGGCGTTGATTCTATAAGAAGTCTTATGTGCCTTAATTCATGGCTTATGAATTCCGATCTAAAATTGTGATAAATTTGATATTTTTGAAAATCTAGTTTGAAATTTTAGTTTCAACAGGATTATATAATCGTTTATTGTCTGCCAATGAACAAAATAACAAATTCCATGTTTGAACAATTATGTTAGTACAAAAAAAAGGTATAGGTGGCAAACAAAAGGTGAAGTGATATATAGGTCAGTGGACCGATTCTTTCACACTCCCCTAGAAACAAAAACAAAACAAAAATACTATAATAATATGAGTTATGTCCCAGGTAGCAGAGTGACGTCCGATTGACGTCATTTTTTGATCATAAAATGACGAAGTGGACGTCCAAAAATGACGTCTGAGAGACCCTATAATGACGTCAAAATGTCACAGCCTTATGACGTCATACTTAGACGTCATAATGACGTCGCAGAATGACCAATAAAGGACGAAATAAAAAAAATTAGGAGGTTCATATATATACGGTATTATTGGTACATGATAATCCATTTTGTAACTATACGTTGTGGTGGTAGTAACTTCGTTGATGGTCCTCCCGGGCAGTCCTGTTGAATCCTAGCGCTATCGCTACTACCTATGAATCTCTATATGAGAATATCGTTAGCTACTCGTATTTGTACCTAAAATTATGTAGCGAGCGTCGGCGAGATGTAAGCTGAATAAACCTATTTTCAGCTAAACTATATATTTCTGGGAAATCCTCTGCAGCAGGTCGATTTTATTTCCGATTTGCCAAATTTGAAAGTGAGAATCATATATATACAGGGTGATCCACGTTTAAGTTAAGACGTCCGCGGCAATTTTTTCAATTGGAAACAATAATAACCTATATTAGATACATTCAATTTTTGAAATATTCATGGAAATCTGAATTTAAAAATATATTACACATAGGGTTTATATACAGTGTGTCCGTTGAATTGAGTCATCTCGCGTGAAGTAATAAATAAAGTAGACAATCAATGTACTTATAACCATACAATTCCTTGCTGAGGAATCTCCCAAAATAGGTCGATTTTCATTTTAAATTACCAACATTATTGAGAAAAAATTGAATATACAGGGTGATTCAAGTTTGAGTTACAACGTCCACGACCATTTTTTCAAAGGAACACCCTATCAATTATATATGAGTTTGTATACAGTGCATTCGTTGAATTAAGTTCTTTTGCGAAGTTGCGAATAAATTTGTTGAAAATTAAAAAAATATTTTTTTGTCAGAGAATAATGCTCGAAGCCGTAGAATTTTATTTTCAATCAAGCTTTATCTCATATTAAATCAATATATACAGAATGATTCGTGTAGGAGAAATTACGTCATCTTTATATTTTATTGGCGATCCAATTTTATGAGAGAACTGAATTTAACAAACGCCCTGTATACAAACCCTTTGTGTGATGTGTGATATACATTTGATTACGAAAATTCAATAGTATATATCCGATTGAAAAATGCGTCGTGTATTTCATGCATAATACAAACGTGTATCTTCCTGTATATTTGATGATTCCTCCGTATAAATGTCGAATTAGAAATAAAAGCCTCTCCTGTTTTCTCAGAAATACATAAGATAGATAGATATTGGAAAATAATGAATTTATCCACTACTTCACGGGAGCATCTAATTTATAAGACGCACTTACCTATACAATCCACATGATTGTGTTAAACATTTTCGAATTCCGCTTTCCATGGTTATTCCAAAGATTGAGTAATATATATAAGGTGCTCTATTTAAAAAAATTGTCGTTATGGTCATAACTCAAACGTGAATCACCATGTATGTATATTCAATTTTTCTCATAAATATATGGCAAATTGAAAATAAAAATCGACCGTTTTCAGCAGATTCCTCAAAAATGTAATAATTAATTTGGCTGAAAATAAATCTGTTCATCAGTACTCACGAAAACACTCTGTATATACAAACACGCATTTAGTACGTACAATTAAGAAACGATGAAAAAGTAAGAAAGCGACTGATTTTTTTTATTTGGTCGAATATACGACTTTGTAGGGACGTCATTAAGACGTCAATTATTGAACGTCAATAAGACGTCATGAAATATGACGTCATTTTCAGGTCCTTCTGAAGTCGAGGACGTCATTGACCAATAAGGACCTAAAAAAGACGTCATTATGACGTCATTCCACTAACCTGTGCTACCTGGGGTCTTTGAAGTAAATGTATATCGAGGCGATATTATTTTCAGAAGATAAACTCTGTCATAATAATATATTATAAATCAACTATTATTGATTCATTTTTTTTTTCTTCGTTTCGTATCACTGCTGTGAAAGGAATTTTTTCTTAAATTTGTTTTTAAATGAATTCAATGATAGGGAGAAATTCGGTATATCCAGAGAATGGCTCACAGTCGCAATCTGATAGGTAAAAGATGACTCATATATTTCTTAATTATGCAAAGGTATGTTGATACCATGCTTTCTTCTCAGGTTTAAATTGTGAATATCAGTCCTATACGTGATTTTTCTGAAGAGATACTCTGGCTGTTTAGTTTTCAGTACTTTATAGAAAAGGCAATACGAATGAAGTCTACGACGATTGTACATATACTCAACCAACCCATTTCCTTGAGTTTATGAGATATACGATCTCTTTTTCTTATTCCATGGATTAAACGAAGACATGAATTTTGGACTTTCTGTTTGCGATATGCATCTGATTTGCGTAAAAAAGGTCCATATATATACCGTATCACAATGATTGAAATGAGACAACACCAAAGAACCGCATATTTTCTTTGTAAGTGGATTCATGTTATGTCTATGAGGATACTGTTCTAATTTTAATTGTAACATGTTTCTCAAACCATAACTTTGAGTCTAAATTCAGACCAAGGTTTTTGACTTGTTCACTGAAGTCCAGTTGGTCATTTCCAATGAAAATTTGCAACAGGTTCTTTGCCGCTATTTACTGACTCTCACTACCAAACAAAACAGCACCCCAGACAGCACTGGATATTCATAGAATATTCCCTAAATATGCTAAAAAGGAGGAGTATATTCCGAATATTCATCGATCATTCCTAGAATATATACATGCCTCTGGAACATCTAAAAGGAATATTCCAAAGTGAATAGTCGGACATGTTCAGGGAATATTCAGGTATGAATCTTCCAGGAATATTCCCAACTGAATATTCTCTGTTGTATATTCATTAAATATACCCAACTGAATATTCTGTGCGGTATATTCATGAAATATACCCAACTGAATATTCTGTGCGGTATATTCATGAAATATTCCCAACTGAATATTCTGTGGTGTATATTCATGAAATATTCCATGAATATTCCTATGTTTCTCAACACATAAATACCATTTATTATTTCAGAGATGTGAGTATCGAACATCAATTAGATGTAAGGGGATTTTGAAACAAAAAGTGTTTATGATCCGATTTCGAACAATGCTCTCACAAGAACTTGATATGTATAACATTATTCAAATCGGTTACTGGCCTAGTGGTCAAGGCGTTGCTCTGATAGTCTTGAGGTCACGAGTTCGATCCCTACTTGGGTCACTTTTTTTTATTTTAGAATATGTTTATTGGAATATTCCAAGAACATTCAACATAGAATATTCTTTTGGGTATATTCTATGATTATCTGAGGAATTCCCATTCGCATATTTAGAGAATATTCCACAGATATTCCGGAATATTCCAGATTATTTCTAGAATATTCCAATATTCCAAAAGGAATATGATAGGGTGATTCATGGAATATCTGGTGCTGTCTGGGAACCACAGATATTTGGCGAAGATAAATTCGTCATAATGTTTGGCGGACTGCATATCGAGCAGGCATTCCTGAAAGCGATCGGGTGCTGGTTGGAAGGTAGTGGATGGACGCAGGTGTTGGTTGATGCACAGGTTGCTTCTGCTGGAACGGCTGAATCATTCCTTACAGCGGGGCATATTATGAGAACTAGGAAAGCTCACCAGGTGACAATATGTGCCTTAAATTCATTACTCCAGACAGCTTTCAGGGATGCTAACACGGCTGTTGACGAAAATTTTCAAAAATGGTGCGAGCAACGCCAGAAAGAAAGCGCTTTGTTTCAGTATTGGTACATAACTCTTAGTCTTGAACTGTTGTTGAACATGTATGTGCAGTCACTTCGTACTGGAAACTTCCGATTATATTGTGACTGTCTCACAAAAATGTGTCCATGGTTTTTTGCATTAGATCGAATAAATTATGCCAGATGGCTTCCAATACACTTGAGAGATATGGTCAATCTGGAGCATACACATCCCGATATTGCTGCCAATTTTGTTGATGGCAGTTTCGTAGTACACAAAACTAACAATCATTTCTCGGCACTTCCCATTGACCAAGCGCACGAACAACATAACGCCATTATAAAAGGAGAAGGTGGAGCTGTGGGATTAACAGAGAATCCATCTGCATTACGACGATGGACTGTCGCAGGGCCGGAAGTAGCACGAATTGTAGTACAGTTTGAGAATATGATCGATTCTTCAACTTCAGAAAATACCCGGCACCATGATGAAAACCAAGCGACACAGCGTCTCTTCGAACAACAAGTAAAGCGTGTTATTTTTGCTTTCATGGAACTTGGAAACCCATTTTGCGATGACACAGGAGATCTTATGAATATCGTCACTAAGCAAAGCGTTCATGAAAATGTGAAGCAAACCGTTATGACAATTGAGGAGGTAGGATCACATGAGTTTCGCCAGTATGTGGATAAAAGAATAGATCGGCGAGTTGAACCAATTTCTCAACCGATAAAAAAACTAAAAATGCCATTGTTCAGCACTCCGCCACCACGATCATCCAAAAGTAAGAGTGTGCTTCGTTCCGTGCGTAATGATTGCAATCTCTTCGCTCGCTTATATATTGGATGTGAGACACGAGGTGGTGATCTCAATGAATTCTTTCGTCACGAAAATCATGCGTGGCCTCCTTCGCTTGCCGAATATGGCCAAATTCGAATAGCCAAAAAGAGTGACATCATAGGATGCGTGGAGCAATTACTGCAGGATCATGATGCACCAGAAACTTTGGACGTAGTGCTCATAGATGGAGCTGTTGTAGTACACCTGATCAGACCAACTGAAGCTATGAAAACTTTCGAAGATTATGCTGAAAAAGGAATCCTTCCATATCTGAAGTCACAGTTCAGGCGTACTACGAGACTTGAAATCATTTGGGATACCTATTTGCCTGGTTCGTTAAAAGCTTCAGCTCGAAAGAAACGAGGAACTGGTATTCGTACTCGTGTTTTATCAAAAACACCTCTGCCGAAGAAATGGCATGAATTTTTGCGAATGGATGAAAACAAAGAGGAACTGTTTCACTTTCTAAGTTCACATTTGAGAAACATATCGCCTGACGTTGGGACTGTAGTGACAACAATAGGAGAGGATACAATCAGTAATGTTGATATTTGCCTTGAATCCGTGACTCCATGTTCACATGAAGAAGCTGATACGAGACTGATGTTACATGCACATGCTGCTATTCAACAGGGATGTTCACGAATTCTCATCAGGACTGTTGATTCAGATGTTATGGTATTAGGTATAGCTCTTGCTGCTCAGTACATCAATGCAAATATCAAACTGTGGATAGAATTAGGAACAGGAAAGAACATACGCGTAATCTCTGCCCATGGAGTTGCTTCAGCTATGGGACTAGAGAGAGCATCCGCTCTACCAGCTTTTCATGCATTGTCTGGGTGCGATACTGTGTCAGCATTTGCCACACGAGGAAAAAAATCTGCTTGGAAAGCATGGGAAAAATGCCCAGAAATGACCCATGCACTGATTGCGATATCTCGGCCATGCAAAGATATAGATTCCGATATCTTTGACATCCTTCAACAGTTTGTTGTAATAATGTATGACCATACATGTTCGGAAACGGATGTTAATGCTGCAAGAAGGTATCTTTTTACGCAGAAGCATCGAACCCTAGATGGAATACCTCCAACTAAAGATGCACTTATGTTACATGTCAAAAGAGCAGCTTATCAAGCAGGCCATGTTTGGGGACAAGCCAATGTCAAAAAACCTGTGCTACCTTCACCAGGTGCATGGGGATGGACGCGTGATGACATTGGTTGGGAACCAACATGGACCACAATCCCAGAGGCATTGAAATCTTGTATAGAGATTATGGCTTGTGCCTGCCATCAACAGAAATGCTCAGGACATTGCAAATGTGTAAAATATCATGTCCAGTGCACGTCATTATGTAAGTGTGGGGGCAATTGTGAGAACTAATAACATCTTATGGAAAATTAGGTTTCATCACGTTATCTCAATCATGATCCGATGTACTAATATTTCAAACCATTGAATATAATTGATATAATATGGTGTGATTTGGTATAAAAAAACCTCATTCGACCCAACCTAATCTCTGATCCATATTTTACAGATCACTATGATTACTTGTTACTTGGAATCATTTGCGCTATTTTTCCTATATAGCTCATATACAGGGTTATTCAATTTCAGTGTCTGCATCCATTTCCATTGTTGATGATACAGAATTGTTGGAATTTCCGAACAATAGGTATTTCGATTAGGATTTGTATTTAAAACTTGTAGTTATAACAGACAAAATTTAAAAAAGGGTTTCTATGTAAAAAATGTATATTCCTTTTTCAAAATCAAGATCAAGCTGTTTATTTTCAATTCTTTCATCTCAAATAACGACAAAAATACTGCTAGTTTGTTTTTTTGAACAATGTTGTATCATTAATAATAACAAAGTTACGATTGTTGGACACTTAGTTTGGATAACCCTGTATATGACCACAAGGAGCAAATCGTGTCAATATCATAGTATAATTATAGTTTCTATTTGTTTAATCATTCAGGATCATATGTTTCACAATTCCAGGAAATTTCATGATTCTATTAACAAAATCACGATAATTATGATTTTTCACCATATATTAGGTTATTTCCGCCATTTTGTTTTTTTGTTAACTTTTCTAGGAATCCCACTTCAATTACCCATTACTATAATATAATGCACAATCCTTGAAATTTCTCATTTATAATGAAAAGTACGAATCTAATCATCGATCACCTATGTATCATTATATCAACATTGACATGGCCGCCATTTTGTTTTCTTGTGAACTTTTTCGGGGCCTCCCTATCTCAAATCACTTATATATATATGAAGAACAATTCCTGAAAGTTTCATGCTTTTATCACAAATAGCACAATTCTTGCATTTTTTCACCCAAATCTGCTACACTATTACCTTCATACAACGTACCGTTTTCGCGTATAAAAATAAAAACCAAGAAATATTTTTGATGTGTAGGTATTTGTCGATGTTTTGGATCACTGGATTGCATTCATTACTCGAATGAAACTCCAATCCATATATCAATAACAAATAGAACAGTCTGAATTCATTGGAAATATGTGAATTTAAAGAAATATTCTGAATTAAATTGAAATATACAATCGTAAATAGTGTCATCTTCATACAGGGTGATTCGAAATTCGATGTAAGTATTTTGTGGACATATTATTGGGATCAAAATAAGACTTTTTTTTACATAAACAGCCACTGTAAGTTATCATCATCAAATGACATCAAATCAAATCCTCTGAGAATCGGCATGCACTTGCCTTTTCAGACAGTTTATTTTCTTCTTGCTTCAAAAAGACTTAAACCTACAGTTTTGGGGGAGTTGGAGGAAGGTCAACACTTTATTGACCCAAATTCTATGTTTAGAAAGAGAAAAAAATCAAGAATTCGGTCTCTTACATTTTTTCATAAACATTTTCGTGCAGATGTCACAATAGCGCAAATTTAAATAATTTCAGTCGTCTTGAAAGTGGCGTACCTACTCGAAATAACAAATAGTCACTCACCAAGATGAAATCAATTTGATGTCTTAGGAATAATCTAATAGTTGACTGAATCATATTGATGTGATTGAATGATCAATTAACATATTCCTATGTATGTAAAAAGAGATAACGACTGATATATAGTGAACCTGTTCCACTGATCACGAGATGAGATGTTATTGCACGTTTACATTTCATGTTTTCATGGCGATTACATATTATGTGGATAGGTACATATGATTTTATGGTACTTATATGATGATTACATAGTGATTACATGGTGATTGCATGGTAATAGCATGGTGATTCCATATTGATTGCATGGTGATTTACATGGTGATAACATGGTGATAACATGATGATTACATGGTGAATACACGGTGATTACTTGGTGAATAAATGGGGATTACACATGATGAGGACATATTGATTAAATGAAAAACCTGTCTCGTCAGGATATCATGGTAACTCCTTCGCGAGCTCCTTCGTCAATGTAGTCATTTAAAAATCACCTTGTATTTCTTATACTTTAATCCTTATTGAAGCATATATATCAGAATGAAATGAAAATATCCAGCTCACCTTTAGCATCAGCATCCCTTTTAGTTATAATAATTTATATATTTTGCTGTTTCTACTTACCATATTATATTCTCATCAATTATTAAAAAACTTTGTGAAAAACTATTCACGTTCATGAGAAATCTTCGAAAGCTCAACGCACAAAACAGACAGTCGCTCACAAAACGCAAGTGGAGGTCTGCAGATGCCCACTATCTTAGTGAATCCCACCACACATACAGAAAGTCATCGGGCTCCTGCATACAAAGTGATTCACACTTTCCATGTCCTGGCGGTGATTTGAGTAGGACCTTATAATTTTGGTATGATCATGAGTGTTTGGTACTTTGTACATCACCCTATAGGTTAAGTATTTGAATCACCATGTATGTTCAGGATGTGGATGAGATAAGTTGTAACATGGCAACTTGTTGTCATGAGAAACAGTTGGAATAATAAAGAGAATAAAGAAATTAGAGACATTGCAATTCGAATTGCAATTTTCTATTAATCAATCTTCGTTTTATATATCATCAACCTTCGAAATACAGTCCACTATTGACTGGACGTTCTAAGGTACCCTCTTGTGTCTTCAGTGTCACATCCTGAACATACATGGTGATTCAACTACTTAACCTATAGGGTGATGTACAAAGTACCAAACAATGAGGAGGAAGGAAAAAACAGAACTACAGGATCAAAACAATTTTTCTTGATGGCTATAGGGTCGTTCTAGCTCCAGCAAATGTCTCTCAATTATTCTGGTCTCAGCAAAATTGAAAGAATATCTATTCAAAATCTGGAATAATGTTGGTACATTATATTTATTCGAGATGGCTACTTTTACAAATGGTCTCATTTAAAAAAAATTGCACTCCGGTAGTTGAATAGGTAGAACAATGCCAACTTAGATGGGTTTGCGCAGTAAAAAGATTTCGTAATGCACAATGTACAGGGTGGACCAAATAGGACACTTTTAAAGGGAAAGTCCTATTCTCGGAGCAGATGGAAGAAAACTGATGTCGGTGCCTGATGGTCGATTCTCATGAAAAACTCAATGGTGAAATCCGCATATCGATATCTGTCTTCGTTTCGGAGTTACAAGGTGTTTTTCGGAAATGAGAATTTTTGGAAAATTGTCTGTTCTCATGAGAATAACTGCAAAGCATTGAGTTTGTAATGAGAATCGTTCTCGAGGCACTCAAATCGGCCCTCCTATATTTAGTTCAAGAATATAACTTGTTCTTTTTGAAGAAAAGTTATATTTTGTAACTCGGTATACGGTGACTGATTTCAGTGCTTGTAGATCAATTTTCATGACAAACACAATGCTTTGGAAATGTTTTCATGAAAACGAAAAAAATTTAGTCCACTTTTTAAAAATTCACAGTTTCGAAAAACACCTTGTAACTCTGAAATAAAGATAGGTATCGATATGCGGTTTTCACCTTTGAATTCGTCTTGTGAATTGATCAACAGGCAACACCATAAGTTTTTTTCTATTTTGTACGGGAATAGGACTTTCCCTTTGAAAGTGCCCAATTTGGCCCACCCTGTACAAAGTATTAAAAGGTACTTGTCTAAACTACTGGCAAGAATGTAATGAGTTCAGGTATTCTAGTTCGAATTTTATGTAGTACTCGGAACATCATTCAATTCTACACCATAAAGTTACCCTCGGCAGACTCTCGGTAAAACTCGATATAAGTACAGTATGGAGACTTCAACTGGAATAAATTCGTTAGCAGTGGGGTGAATATTTTTTTCTGGAAATTCCCGACATACGTCAACAATTCAATGTATATGCCTACTTTTCGCCATCAATATCGAGAATATATCCCTCCAGGGGTAGCTGCAACCACCCTCAACATGAATTTTTCCAAAAGTAACCCTATAGCTTGTGACCCTTCATTGGAAAGCTGGTGGAAAGAGAAATTCAGCATAGTAATCAAATTTCAGTTCTTCATACGTTTAAAGGTAGCATAATATTGAAATGTAATATTGAAATTCATTTTCTTTTCAACGTATCAATCGCTCAGTATGTGTGTTGAACAATTGATGGCAGTTTTTTGCTACAACTGCTATCTGTTATTGTATTTCAGTATTTTTATAGACCCGCAAAAATAAATTTAGTTTTTTTGCTGTATTCACAGTTCCAAACGAAGTGTTATTGCAAACTGGTGGAAATGCCCTATATCACTGTCACTAAAAGTCGAAATTTTGATGAAAATACGTTGAAAATATATTAAACTTCGAAACTATATGCGACCGCAAACTTGATCAGTACGCTGGATTCATCTTTTAACCAGCTTTCCAATGAGGGGTCGCCAGCCGTAGGGTTTCATTTGAAAAAAACGTGTTGGGGTATTATAGTTTCCTGCTACCCTCGAAGGGTTATAATCTCTTTATTGCTGGCCAAATGTAGGTAATTTGAACGTTGACGCGTCTCGCCAATTTTCAATTGTAATACCACTAGAGATCAAATTATTTCCGGAAATTTTTTCGAGCTCATGGAAATTTTGAATATTATTCCGAGTCGAAGACGAGGGATAATTTTTGAAATAATCATCTTCCATTTAATATTAACTTCGGGATACTACAAGTGATAAGAAATTATAATTTTGTCAATTAATTAAGTATAGGTACATACTAATAGTAGTAGAGGAAGGGGAGGCGGTCGCCTAGCGAGTAGTGAGCCTTTTTTGCCCCTGCTGCACACGTCATGCGCACATAATATCTACTATTCCTTCTCCTAATTCTCCTTTTCGAACCTCCGGTGGATTTCTGATGAAGGTCAGTATGTTCGTCCACCTCAGTAATTTGATCTTCCTGTTGAAGCGTATCAATACCAGATTTCGAATTTTAGCCTTCTATAACGCCTTACACTGATCCAGGTATTGGTATGGCCTTAGAGTATGATCTAAAGGGTATGGCATTCTATATAATATATGAAGTTAGGGCATCAATGGATTCTTAGGCTATCAATTGTTGCTTTCTACCCGATTGAAGTGGCACAAAATCACTATGTTAGGACGTCAAAATATTATTCTGTCATTAAAACGTCATTAAAAAAATTTCAATTTCATACGCTGGTAGGTACCCACGAGAAAAATAATGTCCATTTTTATGTTGAAAACGGGAGCAAAATCGATCCCGAAACGTCCAAACCTTCATGTGAAAATTCTATATTTCCTCTATATACCTATATTCCTCTTCTCCAAACCTTTTTTCAATACAAAGTGTTACTGACAAGCGGATGAAATTTCCTTTTAGGCTCTCTGATAGCAAAATTTTCAAACGCAGTGATATAACCAAAAACTTCCCCTCCACAACCCTCCTAAGTAGAAAATCATAAATGAGTTGAAATTTCCGTTACACAAGATTTTTTGATGGAAATGGATTATTCTAGACTTGCTGATACATGATCTATGTGGTGAAATAATTTGTGAATCAAAAACTACCCCTCGACAACCCTCCGAAGTAGAAAATCATAAATCAGTTGGAATTCGTGTTATACGGGATTTTTTGATAGTATTGAATTATTTCAGACCTGCTGAATACGCTCTATGATGTGAAATAATTTTTGTATCAAAAACTACCCCTCCACAACCCTCTAAAGTAGAAAATCATAAATCAGTTGAAATTCTCGATACACGAGATTTTCTTATAGTAATGAATTATTCTAGACCTGCTGAATACGCTCTATGGGGTGAAATAATTTGTGAACCAAAAACTACCCCTCGACAACCCTCCGAAGTAGAAAATCATAAATCATTTGGAATTCGTGTTACACGGGATTTTTTGATAGTATCGGATTATTTCAGACCTGCTGAATACGCTCTATGATGTGAAATAGTTTTTGTATCAAAAACTACCCCTCCACAACCCTCTAAAGTAAAAAATCATAAATCAGTTAAAATTCTCGATACACGAGATTTTCTTAAAGTGATGAATTATTCTAGACCTGCTGAATACGCTCTATGGGGTGAAATAATTTGTGAACCAAAAACTACCCCTCCACAACCCTCCAAAGTAGAAAATCATAAATCAGTTGGAATTCTTGTTACACGAGATTTTTTGATAAAAATGGATCATTCTAGACCTTGTTAATTCGCTCTATGGGAAGGAATAATTTGTGAATCAAAAACTTTCCCTCAACAACCCTCCGAAATAAAGAAATCATGAAACAGTTGAAATTCCGGTTGCTCAAGATTCTCTGATGAAAATGAATTATTCTAGACTTGCTGAATACGTTCTATGAGGTGAAATAATATGTGAATCAGATACTACCCATCAACAACCCCCAGAATTGGAAAAATCATGAATCAGTTGAAATTTCTGTTTCACGAGCTTTTTTTGATTGAAACGGATTATTCTAGATTTGCTGAATACGCTCTATGGGGTGAAATAATTTGTGAACCAAAAACTACCCCTCCACACCCCTCCTAAGTAGAAGATCGAGTTTTTTTTTCACAAAAAATGAAATCGATCGGACCACTTTTGCGATTTGTAGAGTGGTCACAAGAAACTTATTCCGGTGAAAAATCGAAAAAACCCGGAAAAACCACCTTAGAGTTTTCCGATTTCCTTCATATTTCAATGACATAATATTGTTTTGAGTACAATAAGATGGCAAAATTTCAAGTCGATATGTCAAAGGGTTCCGGAGATATATCGATTTATGATTACCACAGAGTACAGACAGACAGACAGACCACACACAAAAACCAAAGTTGCTCAAAATTCGATGGGGATCATTTTCTCCAAAGTAACTATACCTCTATCTCGCTTAGTTTCCGAGATAGCATTTTTGGCAAGGCCGTATCATACTCCACTATGTATAGCGTCGTATAACAAGAGCAATTTTGTGTTATAGCCGTATATTGAAAAAATATGGTTCATCACACGTCCAGAAATGATTTTTCCGTGCTTGCATGCAGGGGGAGGCAAGGGGGGGGCGCTCGCCCCCCCTAGCGATTGTTGTTTACTCATCAGATACTTTCTAAACAAGACACATTTGCATTATTCAATTCCTATTCTGATTAGCGCTTATTATAGTGACTTTCTGACACTTTGTTTAATTAGTATTCATCGACATCTTAAAGATATATAAAGAGTTAATTTTATCAACGAAGTTATTGATAAATTTGCTCAAGACTCTATAAGAATGCCATTTTTGTTTGAACAAGATTATAATTATCATCACGTGCAATTTTCATTGTAATTTTGGCTGTAAACAGAATACCTATGTGATGTCAATTCATTCAATATTCTTTTTTTTTTTCCATGTTTTATGTAGAATAATAGTAGATTATACAGGGTGGGTCACGGTCGATGGCACCTTAGACGTTTACGGAGAACGGGACATACGATCATTCTGAAAATTTGGTTGCCCAAGTAATTGCTCTTGATCTATCGATCTAAAATATTTTCAGCTCTGCGGCGTTGCCGCTTTTATCGAAAAGTAGCAAGATGTAACGGCACAAGTTCACATCAAGAAATAAATAATCTCAAGATGGCACACACGGTACATTGCCATGAACGTGACAACGAAAAAAAAAATGAAATAAAAATATAAATAAATTTTGACTCTGACATCAGTCAGAATTATAGAAAGAATAAATTTCAAATTAATATTAAAAGGCAACAACCACGGTAAGGAACATAAGTTTTCATGTAACGTGTGCCCATATTCCAATTATATTCGATTTACAGCAAACGGCGTGGTTGTAATTTCTGAATCTGATATCTATCAGAAATCCCAGGACGAGGTTCAGTTGTTGTTAGTCGTACCTGTTATCATCTGCATCGTTCCATTTGGCGAAATAGAATTTGTGAGAGGGATTCTCTGCTGCAGAAGACAGCTATATTGAACAGTTCATTTGCCCAACCATCAACTATCCTTTTGAATCAATACCTACTTCAACTTTATGGTAAGATTGTTCCAAGTTTTAATCAACTGCTTTTGAGGGAGTGTGAAACTCAGTACCTAATAGTGACCTTTTTCTTGTGCTTCACGACCAATATGGAAAACAGACTATGCTTCATGTTTATTAATTATTATTTCTGTTGATGATGATGATATTGTCATCATATAATCAACTGATGTGTTGATCATTCATTTGCGATATTTTATAGTTAATTCATTAATTGTTACCACCGAGGTTCGGTTTCATAATCATTCATTTATTCATACATCCATTCTAGTTCCATTTAGATATAGTTGAATTTGTGAGGTTTTTGGTTCTGGCAAAATACGATCTGAAATAGTTCAGTTTGTATGGTTATTGATAATATATCTGTGGATATCCGATATTTGTTCGACATTTTTCAACTTTAGGAATTTTTTTTGTCGAAACTATTCATTATTGGTCAAAACGGCTCACATGTCCCTATCCCAACTTTTGATCAACTATCTACTGACATTTAATTGAAACAAATACAGGGTGGTGCAGAATTCAGATTCTTGATCACCCGGTATATGTCCCAATTAAATATCAGTAGATAGTTAATCAAAAGTTGAGATAGGGACATGTAAGCCGTTCTGACCAATAATGAATAGTTTCGACAAAAAAAATTCCTTAAGTTGAAAAATGTCGATTTTTCACACCCTTTATCTCTGTAATCATTTCCGCTAGACCCCAAGTGTGATACATCGATGAAATCAGCTCTTCAGAGAGAATATGGAGATGCAATAAAATACAGGGTGTTCCATTTAAAATAACAAAGTTGTTGCTACTTTTCGATAGGAGCGGCAACGCCGCAGAGCTGAAAATATTTTAGATCGATAGATCAAGAGCAATTACTCGAGTAACCGAATTTTCAGAATGATCTTATGTCCCGTTCTCCGTAAACGTCTAAGGTGCCATCTACCGTGACCCACCCTGATGTATATCGAGAGAGTAAAGTGCATGATTTATCCAGATGTGGTTTTGTAGCCAGAGGGTGCTATAATGCACTGATGGAAGAAAGAGAACTCACTTCCGAGGTTATTTATATACCATTTTTGCACGACTCGACGATTTTAATTGAAAGAATCCTATATGATAAAATCAATTATTGTCAATATGATGATGAAAAGCTGAACACAATAATCACAATATGAAGTTTGATCATCATGACTACCGATAAAGTAGCCATATTGCTTTTTGTGAACATCGAAAAAGTGTGGTAGCATATTTTCTTTGATTTCCAAAGTTTTTTCAATAAATATTGCAGAAATTTGTCGAAAAACTATTGAAGAAGCTGCTGCAAACATAGTGGTAGATTTATTGCCAGAAAAATCCCGGAAAATTTTTTAGCCTAGAGAGTGCGCCTACTCTGTATACCCTGTATTCCCGCTTTTGTCGGTGTAAAATCGCTTATACGTCGTGCAAAAACAGTTTTCTTTATAATTATGTTCTGAATAATGTACATTATTTATTGTGATTTGTCCCTCCCTGAGATTATTTCTGCGGACGCCCCTGCTTGCATGACTTCCCGTGTGAGGCGATCCGGTTCGCCTCACAGGAGAATTTGTCACACACGCACAGACAAATCCCTATTTCCCGACTTGTAATGAAATATACTATTACATCATAGAACGCATAACTGAAATTGTTCTAAAATTGTTCTATCCGTCATTCGGTTGCCCCCTTACTAGCAACCCTCAGAAGTCTTCGAGAGTCTTGTGCGAGCAAGGAATGACGGGGGCCTTACCTTTTAACGTGTGATCCCAAACACTTTCTTGGGCCATCAGAAAAATGTCTGCAGTCGACGGGAATCGAACCCACGACCGGCAAGCGAATGCGGATTAGAATATGGACACTCTGTCCGCACGGCTACCTGGCCCCCTAAACTGTTTTATGAGTTCTAAGCTCTTGATGTCAACATCAAGGTCATATGAACTCGTACCTCGTACCTCTAGCCGAGTCTAGCCCTTCTCAGGTCAAGATCATGTTATTGGGCCAATTATAGTTGAAGACAAGTAAGGAATATAAGAAGATCTATTTTTAAGTCTCTCTGTTTTTTGCTGTATTCAATAATTGAAAAAAAACAGGAACCTAGCAATATTTGCCAGCCTCCATTTCGCACAACTTGTTTTTGATGCCATTCCAGCTTCACATTGTTGTTGATTTTCTGAAAGTTATTCAAAATAATTGAAAACTAAATGCTTTCAGTCTTGAAGGACAAGATAGTATGTTATTTATTCAGACATGAACACAGACGAGTTGCCTCCTCTGAAGAGATACTAAAAATATTCCATAAATAATTCACTCATTATTTTTCTTGTAGATACATTTTTTAATCAAGTACCTATAAGTAGTGTGTGAATAACTTCACTTTACCTTTATATATAATTAATATAATTGCATTTTAATTTTGGTGTCCTTCATCTGCAGCTATTCTACTGGAAAGTAGGATCAGTTGCTACATCTCATAGAAAGAACATGACTTTTTCTTTTCTCTTTCTCAAACAATAAACATTATCTCTTTATCTTTTAGTTTTCACAATATATGAGCTCAATGAATTGCAAAAATGAGTAACAAAATATGCATTTGATGAAATTAGCAATATCGATTATTTCAATACATTGATTGAAATGGTTTATACAAATGGCAATTTTTACAACACATTGTCCGTTAATGATTTATTGCAATGCATTGAAATCAATGTTTAACAAGATCCATATTCCAATAGTGCATTATTGCTAGCAGTGTATCTCATGAACATTTTTACTATTCATTCCTACAATATATTGCCGCAATGTGTTGCAAAAATTGCAATTTCAACGATACATTACACTTAATGAATTGTAAAAATGTCTATGCTAAAATACAGTTTTCACAATACATTCGATCTAATGACTAGAGTCTAGCCATACCACCATAGCGAGGTAATATTGCGCCTCGCTCGCTGCTCGCTGGGCGCGAGAAACTGAATGTCCGGCCGATCCTGAGAAGAAACATAATTCAAATAGCGAATCACTATCGGCCTAACCAATAAATGCCTCCATATTATTTTTTCGATTTAATTACTTCGAAAAAGGAAAAAAAAAAGATTAGCTGGAGTAGGGATCGAACCCCGGTCTTTTCGTTCGGAGGAAGGCATTAAAGTCATTTATTATCTTCCATCTTTGATTTACAGCACATAAATACATCCACATTGTAAATATATAGGTATACTATGGTGGCTGGTGTTGGCCAAGAAATGTGGGTGCATATGTGAAGTGTTCGTCGCAGAAGCCTATCTCCTAGGGCTAAGCCCTTTATACAGGTAATTTCACTGAGGTTACCCAATGGGTGGAGGAGTTGTTCAGACGCTATCAGTGGTGGGTGTTGTGTTTTGTGGAGGAAAATAAAATTATAAAACAAAAACCTCCTTCTCGTTTAGCTCGGCCGGGAGTGGGCGCGCTCCCCCACCCACGCTTAGCTTTATGAGCCGGTCACGGGTGCGCGAGCGCGAACACACCCCACCGAGCTCAGTGTCGTTCCGTTGCATTATCTGCAGCCAAGACACTATCTTATTTTCACTTCCTGGGAAATAAAGATGACTGGATCCTTCCCGGAGTTTCGGACGGGTCTGCGGCTCCGGGAAGATTCCCGTCTATAGGTTTCTAGGCTCTCTAAAAACATCGGTTGATGCGTATATCAGCCCGTATTTTTTACGGATGTTATGATGCTGTCTGGTTGCGGTGATATTCCGGATAAGGTCACTTCCAGCGATGTGGTATATTTCTATTAGAAATTTTCAAGATGTACTCACTGACTCTAGGCAAATTACCACATCTCTCGTGGAGATCTGCCACTCGAGAGTATCTATCACCGTTGGTGATAATACGGAGAACTTTGTTCTGCAGCACCTGTAACCTATTCATATGAGTAGGTGAGATGCTGCAGAATACTGGACACGCGTATGGCATCACTGGTCTGATGATCTGCTTGTATACCAGGACCTTATTCTCCAGCGAGAGAGAGGAGGTCCTGGATAGCAAGGGATACATTTTCTTGTTGGCATTCTGTGTCTTCTGTATCAGGTAGTTGGTATTTTTCCTGAATGACATATGGGTGTCCAACTTGACTCCCAGGTATTTCACGGGGAACATGTCTGTCACCTCAACCTCTTCGACGGTCAAAGGTCTGCTCAACGTGGAGTTATTACGTTTCTGATGGAAATTAATGACTTCGGTTTTCGCACTGTTGATGCGGATCTTTGACTCGTCAAAGTACGGTATGATTCCCCTGTCCAGATGGATCTGGATCTATGCCCTGGCGATATTCGAGTCGTCCGAGTGAGCATATACAGCCGTATCATCGGCGTACAACGCTGTACACTTCCGCTCGAATACAGGGAAATCATGCGTGTATAGGGTGTACAGCAGAGGTGAGAGGCAGGAACAACCCTGCGGAACACCTGCCTCGAGTGGATCGAAGATCTCCTGATATACTTTCGTTGACCTTGACCCGGATTTACCTATTGTTGATATATTCATCGATAATCTTAATGATAACATATCGGCATTCTAGCCTTATGCAGTTTGGACATTAGACCCTCGTGCCAGACGGTGTCGAATGCCTTTTCTACGTCCATCATGACCATGACCGTGTTCTTGTTGTTGTTGCTGGCCCCTTTAACCTCGTGAACAATTCGGGCCACTTGGGACACTGTGCTGTGCCCCTTGCGGAACTCGAACTGTTCCTTAGGTATGAGGTCCAGCTTTTCCACGTGGTGTGTTATGAGTCGTAGGAGGACTCTATCCACGATCTTGGCCACGGCGCTAAGCAGTGATATGGGACGGTAGCCATTGGTTGAATTTGGGTTCTTGCCCTGTTTTGGGATTGGTACAACAAGCCCAGTCTCAAGGCATTCTGGGTAGTGCTGGCATTCAATGATTGCGTTGATCATGTAATGCAATTGTTCTATTACTGTTCGGAGGAAGGAACACTACTCTGATGACCAGCACGCTCCTGGCAAAACAAACTACAAAACAATTTTATACGCTCTTGACTTGCCACCGTGGCAATATTTCCCGTATAGTAGTGCTATGGCTAGGCTCTAATGATCTAATGTATATTAAAAAGTAACAAAAGACGCTCCATGTAGATGCGACTACTTCCTGACATTGTCAGGAACGTAATTATCTTTTCCCAGCACCCCGGAGCCAGTAGCGTCGTCCAGCCAGGGATACTGCCTCGGACATTCCATGCACGTCTCCAGATATCTCGTGTCGGTCACGTTCAGCTCGGGCCGCTTGAAGCTGAGCGCGCACTTGTTGGGCAGCTTGCACGGCTTGGGCGGCAGCGTTTCTTTCCTGTCGCAGGCCCAGGGCTCGTAGTTGGAGAGTTGGCTGGCGGGCTTCGGGTCGGTGATCCACGTGAGGGCTTGGGTGGTCGTCACGAACCACACGTCGTCGCTGAAGAGAATATTGATACTAATGAATGGACTTCAGGTTAACTGATGAGGATCTGATATCCGAAATGAGTTTTACTCGAGTGAAGTCATATAACCTGTTTGTGAGAGATATAATTCCCATATTACTGATACGAATAATTTTTTTGGAAGTTCCAAGCTCATCAAGATCAGAGTTCATACAAGTATAATTCTTCTATATATAAGTTATATTTTTATATTATAATAGATCAATCTATTTGATTTGAGAAATAATGTCAATTCTCAATTTCAGAGGATTTTGATTTTCCATGCTCTCTTTATGGATATTAAACAGATATAATTCAATATTCGACGTGGCAAATAGCTAGAAAAGTAGTTGTTTTCTGTTGAATATTCAGAATGATATTATGTGCATATCTTTTATGAAGGAGAATGCAAATTGTCTACTTCAGAAGATTTTGTTTTCAAGATAAAGAAAAATTAGCTCGCGCTTCGAGCTTCGGGACATAATGGGGAAAAGTGGGAGTGGTGGCTAAATATACTCGGAATTATCAAGGAATAATATTGACATCAATTCTCTGTTCATATCTCACTCACCGTATTCATCAGGAGAGTCCCTGTGCTAAGTCATCAAAATGTACGCACTAAATGGATTATTTCGTGCGTGAATTTAATAAAATCAAGAGGTTTGTTAGTTTGGCAAGCCGAGGACAATATTTTTGTATTAAACTCTGTTTTACAAATTCACCTCAGGCTTCGTGGGAGGAAAGTGTATGCTGTTATTGTTGATTTTCGTCGAGCATTCGATAGCATTAATCATATTATAATCTACTATGGCTGAAATTGTATAGAGTAGGCATAAGTTCGAAAATTATCAAGATCATAAAAAATCTCTATGATGGAGCATTTTTTTCAATAAAACAAGATAACATGTTCAGCAAAAAATTTTACATTTCTGAAGAAGTCTTACAGGGCGAACCGTTAAGTCCCCTTTTATTATCTCTTTTCATAGCTGACATTGAAGACTACTTTCGGACACACGGCTTAACAGGACTCAATATTGATGGAAAAAACGACATATTGGTGTTATCATATGCTGATAACATAGTTATTCTTGGTGATTCCCCAGTAGACCTATCGCGCAAACTGAAAGTACTGGAAAATTATGCTTCAGATAATAAACTCGTTATAAACACGAGCAAAACTAAAGATATGGATTTTTGTAGAGGAGGATATATCAGTAACTATAACCTAAGATTCACTTGCAATGATCATGTCTTAGAAGTTGTAAGAAACTTCACATACTTAGGGACAGAATTTTCTTCATCATCCTTGTTTCTAGAAATGGCCAGAAGAACGGTCATGAAAGCCAACCAGGCAATTGGATCTGTAATGAATTTAATGTTCCGTTCAAAAGTCAATTCTTGGTCATCGAGAATCAAACTATATGAATCTATTGTGTTGTCCTCGTTATCATATGGTATTGCTATCTGGGGCCTTCGTTACGCGGATATTATAGAGCGTGTTCAAGTGCGTTTTTTCAAACGTTTACTTTGTTTGCCAAAAAATACTCCAGACTATATTATACGCATAGAAACTAGCTGCATTAAATTATCATACATTATATTCAAATCTTCGTTATCTTGGCTCAACAAATTGAAATCCATGGAAAACAACAGACTTTCCAAAATTTGCTATGTACGTTTACTTGATTTAGAGAGAAATGACATTAGATTTAATTGGCTTTCGCAGGTGAAAGAATACTTTATATTTGCCGATTGTGAAAACTTATGGCAGCGCTTTCTGAACTATAACTCGAAAAAGCTCACGAATGATATTCTGGACAAATTCAAGGAAAAGCTAATTTTGCTCGACTCTGAGAGACTTGCAAGTTCTTCGTACCCACTCCTATACAATGGCTTAACAGTTTCCGAACCTTCTAAATCCTACTTGAGTATTCCCTTACAAATTTATATAACACGCATTATTGCTCAAATCAGAAGTTCCAGCAAAAAGTCGTTGATGTTTTCGTTTCACGGTTCCTTTAACCACATAGACACAACTGAGATGTGCTCAATTTGCAACTTACAAGCCACCGAGTCCTTGCATCACATCCTATTTGAATGTCCTATCTACTCAGGCATAAGGCAAAATGCGATTCTGTCGGAAATCGGCGATATTGATGGTCCAGTACTTCTACTCAATACTCACAATATTTTACACTTAGCAAACCATGTGAAGTCCCTGATGAATATTATGAAGTTACGATCGTTCATTATGAATGAATGATTGTCAAAAATGTGGCTATTAAATATACTTAGGAACTTGTAGAACTCTGTAATGTGTAATGTACCTACATTAGTTACTCAACTTATGATCCATGTGGAATCATGTTTGCATACCGAGCCCTTGTGATAAAAATATAATTTTTTATAACACAATAAAACTATTTATCTATCTATCTATCTATCTATTTATCTATCAAGCCGGGGTTAATTTATTGTACCAGTATTTCACCTGAACATGTCGTGTGATTAGGAATTTTGTGGAAATCTCATCGTTTGTCAAGTTTTTACATTGGGAAACAACTACTTGAACGAAGGATACTTGTTATTTTGATAGACCTTTAACCGCAGATTAGTGATTAGGTTTTTTCAATTCAGAATTTCTTTCCACGTCCTGTATGATGAATATCAGTTTGTCATACATCCAAAAACGAAAAAGGTGTAGTTTAAAAGATGCATCAAAGAAACTCCTATACTCACAGAGTTTCAGCCCAGGCAAGGAACTTGTGCAGCCCTTTCTCGAGCTCCTTGATGGAGAACCAGTTGGTGTGGAAGGGCATCATGTATGGCGCCCTATTCTGGTCGTAGTACCGCAGGAAGTCCTCCTGCAGCCACTCGAACACGTCGTCGGCGTCGTGGTTGTGCAGCACGCACTGGTCCAGGTAGGGACAATGCCCGCCCTCGAAGCCCTCCACGTAGTGGGTGTTCAGAGGGACCTCCCACACGCCTGATGGAGAAATTAAATACGCTAATTTACTATGTATATTACTACGGAATATGTTGAAGAAGGTTTGATGAACGCGGGGACTCAAAGAAATGTAATATCACGAGAACGAATGCATTTAGGAAGTAGGAGGTCGTTTTGAATTAGGACAGTAAACTTTCAGGTATGTGAACTCGAAATATCTTCATCATACAGGATATGTTGAAGCCAGTGTTATTTACTCTGTTACCCAACCAAGTTTATCATAACGAGAATGAATGCACTTATGAAGTAGAAGGTTGTTTCAAATCAAAACATTGAAAATTTCGAGTGCGAAGTCTGCCGAGATGGGTGTCGGCAGGTTGTCAGTATTTTCTTTTTTCCTCCTGGTGAGAAAGTATTGAAGAACCAGTACTGTAATGAACGTGGGGACTCGACCAAATGTATTATCAAGAGAATGAATGCATGCACTTAAGAAGTAGAAGGTCGTTTTGAATTGAGACAGAAATCTTTCATATATATGAACTGGAAATATCTTCATCATACAGGGTATGTTGGCTCTATAGTGTTATGGACGTGGGACCTCAATCAAATAGGATCGAGGTAGTGTATTTATGTCCATCAACAGATCCGCTAATCTACTATATACGTTGCTTTCGTAAAGTACTGAATCAATTTATTTTTATCCAACCCATCCATTTCTGCAGAATCTCCTGAAAGGGGTCGATTTTAATTTTCAATTTGGTACATTTAGGAAGGAGAATTGAATAAATAGGGTGATTCACGTTCGATTCATGACGTCCGCGATCCTATATATTGTTACGATTTTACTCTGGGTCCGTAATAATTTAACACTCGGTAGAGCACTTAAAACGATTTATTCTGAACACTACTATACAATAATAACAATACTCGTACTAAACACTTCCGATTCACAACACTTCTTCGATCGTTATTATAACGCTTCCAAATAAAGACTTCCCTTCCTGTCCCTAACAACAACTATTTATATTACCTAATAAAACGTCTAGATTCCACTCGAAATATCGTGAACAGGTCGATAATCTTCTCGAGTCATCTCAATAGCCGTCGAATCACCTAATTACTATTCCAAGAAATATGGCTTGTTTACTTCCCGTTCCCGCAGGTAGCTGGGATCGATTGCCAGGGTCGTAACATTTACCCCCTTCTTCAAATTTGATCGTCCCGATCAAAAACAGAACTCTCCTCACCATGATAGCGCTTCAGTCTTTCAAGATGAACGACTTTCATCTTTGTCCTAGGGCTGCGTTGGATTCTGTAGACCACATCGTTGATCCTTTTCAACACCGTATACAGTCCTTCCCAAGATGGTGTTAATTTGGGTGATACGCCTTTCTTCCGTCGAGGATTATACAGCCAAACTCGATCTCCTTCGAAGAATCCCTCTGAATTGGCTTTGAGATCGTACCGTGCCTTCATTTTGTCACTTGCTAATTTCAATCTTTTCCGAGCAGTCTCACACTTGGTGAACCGAACACCAAGTCACAAGGTAAGCGGAGTTCTCATCCAAAGACTATACTAGCTGGAGTTAGCTTCGTTGAATCATGGACAGCTGCTCTATACGCCATCAGGAATAAGGGAAGATGCCTGTCCCAGTCCCTCTGATGCTCTTCGACTACTTTGGAAAGATGTTCTTCCATAGTTCGGTTGAATCTTTCGACCATGCCATCGGATTGTGGATGTAGTGGAGTTGTTCTCGTCTTACTGATTCCCATGAGATCACAGACCTTTTTGAATAAGTTCGACTCAAAATTTCTCCCTTGATCAGAATGTAATTCCATTGGTACTCCGAACCGTGAAAACATGTTGTCGACCAATATCCTGGCAACTGTGGAGGCTTCTTGGTTTGGCATGCCGTATGCTTCTACCCACTTACTGAAGTAGTCCATAGCAACCAAGATGTATTTATTTCCATCATCAGTCAAAGGGAATGGTCCGGCTACATCGATGGCGATCCTTTGAAACGGTGCACCCACATTGTATTGCTTCATTCCAGCTCTTGATCTCGTTCTGGGACCTTTACTGGCTTCGCATACAGGATACAGGACATCTTCTACACCAACTTTCCACGTCGTCACGACATTGAACCCAGTAAAATCTTTCTCGAATTTTACTCAATGTCTTGTTAACTCCAAAATGTCCACCAGATTTTCCGCCATGGACTTCTTCCAGAACTTCATTAACTCTGATGTGGGGCACAACCAGCTGAGAAATTGTTGATCTACCATCAGCTGATTCCCAAACTCGCTTCAATAATCCATTCTCCACAACTAGTGAGTCCCATTGTGCCCACATCGCCTTGAAAGCAGGCCCTCTATCCGAGATATCCTTCCATGTCGGTCTTTCTGTTCCTCTTTCTTTCCAACGTAGAAAATCGGCGATATTCGGATCGTTCTCCTGATCTCGTCTCATGTGTGCTGCTGTACACTTATCATCGGTCACAAGTCTGGTTTTTCTAACATCAGCGGTTCCTTCTCGATGTTCAATGCGCAGACAATGCTTACAGGTTTCCGAACAAGGTCTTCTGGACATGGCATCTGCATTCTGGTGTAGTTTTCCTTTGATGGTCAGGCTATCAGTTGTTCTTCTTATCCTTTTGATGTTAATGACCCTGGGGGCTTCGTTATTACTAGCCAGCATGCGCCCCGATACGCTGGCTAGTTCTAGTTTTTCCTGGTATCTATCTGAGGACTCACTAGATGACCTAGTCCTCGCAGGTGAGTACGACCGTGATGGCGTCCTTGCAGGTGAAGAAGATCGTGATGGTACTCTCACCTTACAGTCCCTTATCAGGTGTCCAGTTCTGCCACAGCGATAGCAGGATCTATTTCGCTGGTTACTAGACCCACTCTTAATTTCTTTGAGTTCCTCAAGCACTTTCCTCAACATTTTCGCCACTGGGTCCACGTCTTCGGAAGGCTCCTCGATGGACACAGCTCTCACTTTTGGCCTAGAGGTGTTGAAGGCCGCTTCTACCTCCAGAGATCTTACTAGGGCTTCACCACTCCTCTTAAAGTGTGTAAGCCTCAGAGTCTTCTGTATTTCTGAGTCTCTCAGCCCGTCGATGAATACCTGCACCGCCAGTTGTTCTTTGAAGTCCTCTGGTGCCTCTGGGTAGGCTAATTGAGTCAGTCTTCTCACATCTGCTTCGAACTCCTGTAGGCTCTCTCCAGACTTCTGCACACGATTTTTCATCTGAGCCCGGTAAAGCTGTTCTCGATGTTGGTCACCATACCTGAGTTCTAGCGCAGCCAATAAATCTCCGAAGTGGTTTTGTTGTTCAACTGGGATCGACTGTAACATCCCCAAAGCTGGTCCTCTCAGAGCTACTATGAGTGCAGTAGCTTTTTCCTCGTCACTCCACCCATTTGCACTTGCTGCAGCCTCAAATTGTCGGCGATACATAGACCAAGGCGACTGTCCATCAAAAGTTGGTGGTTTCACGGAAGAACCCGATGTGGCAACTCTGTCACGGCGATCTTGACTTCGTAACGAGGTGATCTGATTCGCTACATTTCTTTCGATTGCATCGAGCATGGAATCTATTCTTGAAACTTCCTGGTTAAGCTTGTCATCAATTCTGGTGACATCTGTCTTCAACTCATCCATTTGCTTATCAGTTTTATGCAGAATTTGTTCGAAGAAGATTTTCTGATGTTCTCGTTCTTTTTCTTGATGTTCTCGTTCTTTTTCTTGATGTTCTAGAATTTTCTGTAACTCTTCTTGACGACGTTTTTCTTCTTCTAGTTTTTCTTCCTGTCGTCGTTTCTCATCTTCCTGTCGTCGTTTCTCTAGTTCTGCGAACTGATTTTTCATGAATTTTATAATGTCTTCCATCGTGTCGTATGACGTACTCCTTGTATTCACCATACGTATTCAAATGTCCTCGAAAATCCACACTTCTGACACCACTGTTACGATTTTACTCTGGGTCCGTAATAATTTAACACTCGGTAGAACACTTAAAACGATTTATTCTGAACACTACTATACAATAATAACAATACTCGTACTAAACACTTCCGATTCACAACACTTCTTCGATCGTTATTATAACGCTTCCTAATAAAGACTTCCCTTCCTGTCCCTAACAACAACTATTTATATTACCTAATAAAACGTCTAGATTCCACTCGAAATATCGCGAACAGGTCGATAATCTTCTCGAGTCATCTCAATAGCCGTCGAATCACCTAATTACTATTCCAAGAAATATGGCTTGTTTACTTCCCGTTCCCGCAGGTAGCTGGGATCGATTGCCAGGGTCGTAACAATATGCATCCCATTCTGGTTGAGACAGCCAGGTATCTCGGTTGTTGTTGAAGATAGAACATTGTGGTTTTCGCGGTCCTGTGCCACTTTTTGTGAAACTCAACATGGCCTGGACATCATCATCATCATTCACACTTTTTGGGCCTCCTCTATATCTATTAGAAGTTTCTAAGCGATAATGTCGACATCAAATCTGATACTATAGAAAATCCAATGCATCAGAATCCAGTGGCGCACTCTTTTTTTTTGGGAATTGTTTTGAAGATACGACTGAAACTTCTGCATCGTAGTAATTGTATGTTGATGAGAGATTTCATGTGGATTTTATGTATGAGGATTCACGAGTTTTGATTAGACAAATGTCCATGTCAAATCTGAATAAAAGTACCAATATGTAAAGGGTTTCCCAATAAGGGCGAAGTTATTTCTGTCAGGAGTATTAGTATTCAGTTAGTCTTGATATTTGACGTGACGAACTCGCCGAAATTTATTACCAAAACGAATGTTCTGTTCGGAAAACTTTCCGCGCACTGCGTCAAGTTTATGCAATTCAACTCCACTGCACTTTTTGCTGCAATTGCTGCAATTGCGAAATTGCTGCAATTGAACCACATCTGTATGTAATAAGGATCAAAAACTGATCTCGCAGAATTCGACTCACCAGGCAAAACCGCAGCGTACATTTGAGTAACATAATTTTCAAAACAATGTCTGTTTCATTCTATTACACTTTGAAGGTCGAGCGTTCTTATTGGGAAACCCTTTATAATTATACCTATATGAACGATGATTATAAAATATTAACCAAAAAAAGGCGCCCTAGATAGGTACGTACCTGGAAATGACTTCGTGGGACAGGTTCCAGATTTGCACTCGTGAGGAATTTTATAGTCCAACGTGTAAGGCCACACTGGTATGGGAAGTGCAGGTACCCCTATCGAACTGTCGAAAATGTATCCGAACTCTTCTAAAACCTAACAAATAGAACAGGAGCATTGCAACAAGTAATGCCTTAGATATTTTGATCAATTACCTACCTTGTATTGCGTGTTCCTTCCTGGTTTCAAAAAAGGTGCTCTCATCCCAACTACGTCACTTTTCGATATGTTCGAAAGATGTTTCAAGATGTCTCTCATGCCCACCATTTCACCTACCCATTCTTCGTATCCCTTGTTCTCCAGTCCGTGTTGAAGTCTGTAAATATTGCAGATATCTATACAAGGTGTATCTAAATAACACCAAAAAAATCAAGGGGTGATTCCTTGTGATATTCTAGCAAATGAAGTTCATATGAACATGTGTCCTAACTTGCTCCGTTTTTGAGATACAGGAGATACAGGAAGTTTGAAGTATCAATTGTTTTCATTTATAACCCCCCCGTATGAGATTTCATGGTGCCAAAACTCATTATGATTCGTGACTGAGGAAGACCTAAAATTTCAAAATGATTGTAATTGGGGTTATTGAGTAATCTCAATGGAAGTCTTGAAAACACCTACATTAAAGTTTGGAGTCAAATCGAATTTTTATTGTTTCCTCAAAAACTAATAGACTGTTGGCCCGCGACACAGGGTTTATCGATGTTCTAAGTCGGTATGCCATTTAAGGGACCCACTCACTCAGTCCGAGTTAACAATAAGAAGTGCCTCGGAGAGTCGCAACCCAGTCCTTGCCCCGGCCCTGTCCTCACCTTTCGGTTGGAAAAACGTTCAAAATTTAGTTCAAGAAGAAGCTCAGCAATGAAGTGCAATGATCTTATCTCACGAAAATTGGGGCGCTTGCCGGTTTGCACGAACCGGAAGTGGAAATTATTCAGTGTTATAGTCGATGATCGAAGAATGTATGCCCTTTGGCGAAACAATGAATTCTGACCCATTAATCAGTTTCTCTACATTTGCATACGGTTCCGGAGAGGGGAGCTCGATTTATTCGAACATCATTTGACTGGATATTCTTCAAATAATCGATAATCGAAGAAATGTTCAAATTTTGACAATGGTTAGTGGACCACACAGCATCTATGAAATGATGGTTTGCATACAATTTGCACATTCCGTACAGGGTGTTTCACCATAAATATCTCCCATTGTAACTTGGTTGTTTCTGAACCGATTTTAAAATTTCAAATACCAATTAAAATGATTTTCCTAAGAGATTTTTCATTGTTATCAAAAAATTCACAGGCTGTTCATAACAAATGAACTATGGGATAGTGGTTGATTTTTTTTTACTGGAACACTTTATTTTATTTCACTATATCGAGTTCAGATTATCATGACGAATACAGCTCTACAGCATCTAGCGATATCATTTACACACAGCACTCTTATCCAGTATGATGCAAATGTATGGAATAAATTCATTTCAAAACAAGACGACTTCTGAAAAAATCCAAAAAATAGACTTCAGAACTTTATTAATTGATGTATTTTTTAAATAGACGACCCTTCGTTGTTCAATTCTCAGTAGCAGACCTCTGCAAGATTCAGTTAATCAAATGTTAATCCATTTTAATTTCAATTTTCTTATGCAAAATGTTGACTGTTGAATAGACGATCAGTAGACCTTTCCAACGAGGTGTCACATGACCCCTGTTTTCATTTGAAAAAATCGTTCATTTCGTCATTACTCCACCACCGGTGACGTTACATCTCTCATATGGATATCATGAGAAGAGGCTTCAAAAATGAAACCTCACGTGTTCTTGGAATTTTTCCAAATGTCGCCCATTTCTGAAATAATGAATTTAGCAAGATTCAGTTAATCAAATGTTAATCCATTTTAATTTCAATTTTCTTATGCAAAATGTTGACTGTTGAATAGACGATCAGTAGACCTTTCCAACGAGGTGTCACATGACCCCTGTTTTCATTTGAAAAAATCGTTCATTTCGTCATTACTCCACCACCGGTGACGTTACATCTCTCATATGGATATCATGAGAAGAGGCTTCAAAAATGAAACCTCACGTGTTCTTGGAATTTTTCCAAATGTCGCCCATTTCTGAAATAATGAATTTATTCCATACATTTGCATCATACTGTATATAGCGATCATGCGCCAAATTGTCAAATTGTGCCAGAAATATGAATCCCGGGTTTGAAGTATTTCCTTTTTTTGCTGAAACAATTTTCATATCTGAACAATGATTTGCTGCGTCAGCCGGGTAGAGTGTAGCACGTAATGATTTAGGCATTCAATAATGTTCTTCCCCTTTATCGGAGATCCGATATTCAAATATCTGAGGAACCATTTACTTTTGTATAATGTATATTACAGATTTATTCACTTCCTACTGCCTCCCCTACCAGTGGTATGAATCGGATTACCATGTGCAGCGTGTGAATCTTATCGCTAAACGCCAGTCAACTATACTGGGTTTGAAAAAGTTATGTCATTGTCAGTTACATAAAAAATAATGAAGGGGGCTGGGCCCTTGATACTTTTTTTGGGTACGATTTCAATTGGTACCTTGGTGAAGCTCTTCCAGCAGAGGTTAGTGATATCATATTCTCTGAGACTTCAACTAAGAAAGTAGGTATCAGGTAGTACCACTAACCATTGTCAAAATTTGAACATTTCTTCGATTATCGATTATTTGAAGAATATCCAGTCAAATGATGTTCGAATAAATCGAGCTCCCCTCTCCGGAATCGTATGCAAATGTCGGGAAACTGATTAATGGGTCAGAATTCATTGTTTTGAACTTTTTTCCAACCGAAAGGTGAGGTCAGGGCCGGGGCAAGGACTGGGTTGCGACTCTCCGAGGCACTCCTTCCTGTTAACTTGGCCTAAGTGAGTGGGTCCCTTAAATGGCATACCGACTTAGAACATCGATAAACCCTGTGTCGCGGGCCAACAGCCTATAAGCTTGATACTTAAATCATACAGAGGATGAAACAAATTTTATTTCAATAGTTCAAACTAATACAAATATGAAACTCAGAAAAACCTGTGGCGTGTACAATTACATTCACCGCATAAATATCGATAAATTTACCTACTGTGACACCACTGGAAATATTATTTCGAATCTAATTGCACCAGAAAAGATCCATATTACTATCAACAAGACCACAACGTTTTATTGAAATTGATGAGAAGACAATTGAGCAATGAATAAAAAGATGAGTTTTCATGGAGATATCATTACCCTGTATCTCGACAATGAAGCAAGTTAGAACACATATGAACTTTATTTCCTAAAATATCACAAGGAATCGCCCCTTGAATTTTTTCGGTGTTATTTAGATACACTCTGTATAATACGTATGACAAAGATAAGGTTGCACAGCATGGAGATCTCGGAAACGGGAAGAGATATATACAGGGTGTTTGGTTCACCGACGTATATACGGAAGGAGGTGGTAGGTTATGTGATTTTGAACAAATTTGACCATATATACTATTATACAAAGTGATACACTCTTCGAGAAATCATAGCTTATAAATTCAAAATTGGATGTAACAAAAATCGTTTTTTGAATTCTAACGAGCCAAAAAATGTTTTCATCACATTACATCCCATTTCGTGTTCAGTATCGATGAAATACGTATTCAACTTTCTAAGAAAAAAGAGATTTAATCAGATAAAATGTTTGAAAGACCGATGATACCTCGAAATTTTAAACACTTTGTATAATAGTATATATATGGTAAAATATGTTCGAAATGTTCTCAGCTATCACCCCCTTTCAGATATACGTCGGTGAACCAAACACCCTGTATACGAATTCGGTTAAATGGGAAAAAGTTACGCGCATACCAACGAAATGGAAAATCTTCAAAATTGTTTATATAGTTTTTCAGGTATATATAAAAATTTATAGAAACGCTATTTTTTTCTACGTTATTATTAGAGATACAGAAAAACTGAAAATACTTTGCGACTGCTCGTATTCGTATAGAACTATCATCAACTTTTTATTTTCAAATTCGGTCCTGATTATGTGTTCACAGATTCTGATAGCTTTTTTTATTCAGAATTCATATAAAGTATTACCCCAGAAATGCCTAGAAATGTCTTATAAGCAAATATGTAAGGAGAGGATAATAATAACTTCTTTAAGGAAATAATGGTTATAATTAATTTGAACATTTGTTATGAATGATAATTTTTTAAATTACTGTTCGTTATATCATAAGTAATATCACGATGTTCTGAATATTCGAGATAATTATGTCTCTTCATTGTTCAGAACAGTGTGGTGTTTTGCTAGAATATTTTACGTTCACGAAACATAAAAAGCATTTATTAGAAATGAGTGATTCATTCCAACAAGTACAGCCATAATTATTTTATGCCAAACTGACGGACTTCGCTTCTCTATCAATGGTTACATCGTTGAAATCATCAACGCTGTTAGACCAATCAGAATTGAAAGACAGCTAATGTTTTCGCGATAAGCATACGTTGTCTCTGGCTTGTGATTGGTTAGATTAGGTGGTGAGTGAAATAGTCGAGGGTAAATACATGAGAGATCTTGTTTTTATCGATACATACATGTTCAAAATAGCGAGAGCTTGCTCGAGCTATTTTTCATTTCCTTGATTAGAGATTTTAGGCCAAATGACGATGAAATTTGAATACAATTTGAACTGTATTTATCATTAGAAACATTCCTCGAATGTATTCAAGGGAGATTAATACACGACTAAAGTATAAAGATAATTTGGTTGTTAAGAAAACTCGAAAACTATCTGACGGTAGTGACGGTGACAGTTGTTGTCAAATTAATATAGAAATGTGTTTATTGAAAGCATGTTATGCATATTTATCGGTTATTGGGAGAACAATAAGCTAGCTTTTTTATTACTACGAATGCCTGGTGATTGGTCGGTTTTAGGAACTTGAAGAAATTTCATTGGTTCTCAGAAAAAGCGTGTATTAATCAAGGTAATTCGTGCAAGAATCCATTGGCATGACACAATATTTGCAACGCTACTTTGAATTGAATTGAAATATTTTTTACCATTCGGTATTATCAAATAACTGTTTGAACTGATGGTGTTTCCTCTTTGGAATTTCGAACAAACATTGATGATGGCTAAAGCTAGGTCGAAACACATTCAAACGACCTTACATTGTTGAATTCAGAATGGAAAATGCTTTCAGAATCAGTGAACACATAATCAGGACCGTATTTAAAAAACAAGTGATGATGGTTCTATATACGAATACGAAACGTCGCGTGGAGACATTGATATCACCACGTTGAATCTCTCCAAAAGTTGATGAGAAAAAGTTTTCTCAGTTTTCTTGTATCTCTAATAATAACGTAGAAACAAAAATATGTTTTCCAAAAAGTCACTTTTTTCGATATAACTGGAAAATTGAAAACAATTTTGAACATTTTCTAAGGCCGCTGGTATGACCCTCTGAATGAGCAAGTTTGTCTTCCTTCAGCCGAATTTGTACCTCCTTCCATTACCGTGATCCCAATGCTGTGCAACCTTTATCTTAGTTATACTATGTGTATAACTTTTTTTTCATTAAAATATCTCGAAAACTAGGAGATTTTCGCGAAGATCTAAGTTTGGTTTTTTGATAGGTTATGAATTTGTTTATCACCAGCTATAGGGTACTATCCATGGTTTACGAAACACCCTGTATACTTACGAAATCGTTTCTGTTCCCATCTCGTGTCCTTCGCTAGCCAGTTCTTGTATCATATGGTAATTGCTGTACTCATGAGAAATGAAAAATGTACCTCTGATCTCGCATCCGTTGGGATTTTTGCGTTTGTGATTTAGCACTTTTCTGTAGTGATCGTAATTGTTTAAATTAACGGCACCGTCAAATGTTAACAATATCATTTGCGGCGTCTGTAAGAAAATGGAAGAGAATGAATATGAGAACCACTGAGATTCCAGAAATAGTTTTCTCTAACAGTATATTTCATAAATTTGACATCCCACAACTTCAATTTGTTTCGGAACAAACGTGAATCTGATCGTTTGTTTCAAAATTTAGAATGAATGATTTTAACACTGCTGCCGATCGGTAAGAAGTCACTAGAGTAGCATACTAGCTGCTTTTGTTATGGTTAAACCCGATAACAGTCATAGCCTTTGACGTCCTGATGTTTTGAAATTCACACCTTGAATTCTTTCAAACTTTGACTATTTTTCTATTCGTCTTTTTGGTATTTCTGAAATCTCTTTAGAGAAAGCATAGTCTACCAACACGTTTGAAATATCTTATTTCAATACTTGTTGTAGAATATACTATTATTTGTGGACGTCTCCCGAAAAATACAAAGTTGAACTTACATCTTCTGGATCTAGGTTTCCAGGGATCAGTGTTCCATCTTTGGAGCAGAAACAATATGGAAGTTGACACTTCTCTAGATCACATTTCACAGCTAGATCGGTAGGTTCTTCAGTAACAGGAGCAGGAGCTAGAAACATTTTGATTAGAATCATATTGTTACGTTATTCGTGTGCCGAGGCAAACACGATATGATATGATAATGAAAACCTAGTAGGCGACCTAGTGCGAGGAATAGCTCTCGCCTACTAACTACCTAACTAGGTTTTGTCATCTAGAACGACAATGGTCTGACTGACGACTGCTGTTCGGCTCGTCCCTGTACAGGGTGTTTCAGAGTTGTAGTGACAAAAGCATACGGGCAATTCTTCTCAACAAGATATAAAATATAGTGTTTCCACCACTAGCTATAAAACCTACCATTATTTACTCCTTTTCGCTGCGTAAAGAGTGATTTTACTAGGTACCAACGCAGTTTTCGTCATTTTATGAACCACTAGTCAATCACCATCATCTCTGTTACAATAAACTCGAATTCATTGTTCTGATGCGAGAATCGCATTTATTTCACTCGAATCTAGTAGAAATTCATCAATAACGACTTGTCATTATGCTGCCATGGTAGAATTGAAAATAAGTGCTTTCATTGTGACAATAGGTTCATATTTCAGTTTCACAGAACTGAAATGATTGGAATGTAGTGCTAGTAGTGAAAAAAATGTAATATACACCTTGGTAGTAATATTTTTACCAAGGAACCTTACTCCCCTCGGCTGAAGCCTTATTGGGGTATAATCTTAGTCCCTGGGTGATACTGATATTCTTTACTACCTTGGTGAATAAATATTTATTAATGATATGAACATGGGTCCAAAAATGCTCCGTTTCCGAGACAGAAAGTGTCCAAGTTTAAATAAAAATGTTATTTATTTTACAAGGGAAAAAAGTAATAGATGTACGCTCGAGGTTGTGTTGACAAAAATCCGTGAGCTGAAATCCAATATTCTTCCTGTGTATAATACACAATTTTTTTCTGTGACAGGAAAAACGACAGATTTTCAACTGGAAACACTATCGCCGAATGTTCAGTATAGTTGGGAGATTGTTGAGAGTAGGATCATAGAATATTTCTTAGGTACATTATCTTCAAGTACCTATTCGAGTTGAAGATTGTTGTAGTTCATGCTGTCTATATGGAAAATAATTCGATAGATAACCCATGATTATTTTCGATTTTCCAATTAACTTCAATAGCAGGTATGCATATATTTTCAGAGGTATAATTGTCACGATGATGTTCCAAGTAAAATAATTATCTTTTATAAATTTTAGAGATGAATAACTTCTTCAAATATGTCTTGGCTCTTGCTACATTGGATACATAGAAGAATACTCATCTGTGAAATATGAGCAAAGGATGGGTAATGGGTATGTATGAATATATTGAAATTTGAGAATTCAGTTTTCAGGAATTAAGTTTATGCAATAATATGTGATACCTAGGTCCATTTTTTGTACCTATGAATTATCATTCAACACAATAAGCTATCTAAATCTATAGCTACGTATATTATATTTTGGTAGGTACCTACACTAGATAAGTAAGGCAGTAGGTAGGTGACGAGTATATACTACAAGTACTCATATATCGCATGATGACATGATAAAACTTGTCTTATTATTCATACCTACTTATCAAAATTTTTCAATTTCAGATATCGGTAATTCGATGTAACAATCATTGACCACTATTTTGAAGAAATCGTGATTTCAATAGGCAGGTTTCCACCATATATAAAGGTAACATAATTATTCATATGATATAATATATTCGTTGTTATATAGCATCAGTTTCCCAATCGTTCAGGATTGATATGACTTTCAGTTGATGTGGAACAAAATTTAACAGTTTCTCCCTGAGCTTCAAAAATATAGACAAAAGATCGTCGAATAGAATACTTCGGAATTGATAGTTAAACAAGACTGTAACCTTATTAAAATCAATGCCAATGGTGATATGACATATACTTCATTATCACCTGTGGTAAATTCAGCACTGGAAGTCAACAGCTGGATTGGTGAAAATCACAAAATGAGATCTCTGTGAAAATATTCGTGGTAAAATTTACCACGATGCTGTGTTGATTGTTTTCGACTTTTCGCATTCAGTTTTACCACGATACCTGATGACAGACGGTTATATAGGTTGTTTCAACGTATTTATTGAGTATATCTTACTGCGGCAAAAGTTTGTCCTTATTCTCAACGTTTTTCGTGGTAAGATATACAGCTATTCTAGTAGTTTGTACAATTTTTTTTGCGTGTTCATTTGAAGTCCAACTGACTTTGGATAGACTGCACCTACCTATTGCTTCCATAACTACCTGGTAAGAAAAATGGTTGACTCACTTGATGCTATAGGGCCGCACCTGGCCTCATTTTTGAATGTGCAATATTTCGAAATATCATCAAAGTGCAATCCAGAAGGGCATCTGTTCACGTATGGAAAACCATCGACGCACTAGAACAATGGAAAACTATTAAAATCGATGATCAATCCCTCGTTTTACTGTGTTCGATAAATCAATGAGGTACTTTGTATGTAATGAAATTTATTTCCGTATCGGATATCACAATGACTTAATATTTCACAAAATCTCATCTCATGTCTAACAGATGAGCTCAAGAGAAACTCAACGACTACAAGCCGAAGAATTCAAAAATGTCGCTGTTATCTGAGACAGCCGTAGAAAAAGTATAGTGCATAACTCGCACGGAATGCTAATTTCCCACTCGTGGGAAATGATAATCATTCCGTGCTCGTTGTATCTAGTATGCGAAATGCTACTTTGGTGATCGAGAAGAGGAAGAAATAAACTTTACTGGCATAAAATAAAAAAATACAAAAATACATTATGCCAAATGGCTATCGACCAAAGTCTTCCTACCTCCTCTCCCTATATCCTCGTTAGGTACGCACGATGTTCCACGAACATTATAGGAATTTCCTTTCGTGCGCACTAAGAGATAAAAAATATATACATGGCGTTTGAAAGGATTTGATTTTGAACATATTATAGTATATTATGTAACAAGTGTTATAAACGTCCTTTTAGTAACGAGTATTTTAAGCACGAGCGGAGCAGAGCGGAGCGAGTGTTTAATAAACGAGTGTCTAGAAGAGTTTATAAACGCGTTACATACTATGATTTTTCTACGAACTCCGGAAATTACATTAAAATACCTGCAATTCCTGCTAACCTACAAAATAATTCTAAAAGAATGGGAATTGAGAACGTAATACATGCAACTGCATGCAACCAGCGAGACACGTATAAGTGATATTGGTTGTAGATGTGTCCAGTTCATTGCTTACTAACCTTTGTTTCACGTTTATTGTCATGCTTAGCGCAGAATAAATAAATTGTTCTCAAAGATATGGATGCTTCATTTTTACACTTCTTGGAGATATGCAAGTACCAGAACATTCTCTGCGATTTCACTTTCGTCTACATTTTGCATATATTTTTAATGAAGAATTCTGATACAAACGAATATTGTTGAATAATTCTGATACAAAATTTGAAAATAACAGTTGACAGCTAATACAATTGACAGGCCAGACATGTCTCAAATTACTGAAGCTGTGTTTAATGAACTGTGTTGCCATGGTAATGTGTTTAAGAAATCGTGTTGCCATGGTAACGTGTTTAATATTTTGAATAAATCACAGATCGTCATTCCGTGATTAATCGATCATTTAGCATGGTACATATCCGTACGCTAAATGCCATTTTAGTTATGTGAGTAGAAAAAACAATATTTTCTTCTATTTATGACAAATTGATATTTATCATACAGGAAGTGAAAAGAAATTCTGAATTGAGGAAACCTAATCACGAATCTGCGATAAATGACGATAACTCCGTTGTTATCAACACAAAACTATTACTGCGACATATCATCTGTAAGAGAAAAAAAAGTTATTTGTAACTAAGTCATAGGCTATGACCTACATTTGAAAAACTAAAGTTGGTGCTGATATCTCAAATTCTAGAAGAGTTGGTATAAATTTCATATTTTTTTCGAAATCACTTCGGAAAACTGCCATGAGAATGTGAAATTCCCATTTGAATATTTTCATTAATAAAGAAGTTACGGAGGAGACATGAAAATGATCAAAATCTGTTTTTTGCGTATAAAACAAAAACGAATAGATTTTATCAAAATATTTTGTCACATTATAGTTGGCCTTGACAAACTCCACATTTGGTGTCATTTAACCGACTTCGTTTCTCTCACCGTTAAAAAGATACCCATGGTGAGCATGGTAAGTGGGACACATATATATATGTATATAGGTATATCCATTTTTCCATGTTCATAATTTATCTGAGAATATTCCTTGTCAATATTGATCAATATATATTATTATAGATAGATAGATAGATAGATAGATATCCTTTATTAGTTCCTTTAAAATACCTTTTTTAGGTGTAGAACATGTCAATATGATCAAGTATATAATAATAAAAATAATAATAATAATAATAATAATAATAATAATAAAAAACAATGAATTGGAATCATGAATATCATAACTACATTAAAAACAGAAGAAAATGTGAGTATATAAATGAGCTTGGTGATGAATCACTCATTGTCTACATCTAAAGGTAAAAAAAAAAAAAAAACAAACAAAAAATTGGATAAGAGTGTTATCACAGTCATAAAATCACTATAACTTATATATAAAATGAAACAGTGTGCTAGAAATTAATAAATATCTACTCTAATGTATCTGTGAAATACTCGTCAAGTGTATAATATGCTTTTTTGAAAAGCAGGTTTTTTAATTCAATTTTCAGCTTTCTAATGGGCTGTGTTCTTAATGATTCGGGTAATTTGTTATATATGTTGATCAATGAGAAGGGAATATTTTTTTGTATATATGCAAAGTTGGACCTGATATTTAGAAGATTGTTTTTATTTCTAGTGTTATGTCTGTGTTTTCTGTCATAGCATGTGAAAAACTCCATGTTTTCAGTTACAAACATGACTGCTTCATAGATCAATAAACTAATCAAACTAAGAATCTTCTTATCCACGAATAAAGACCTACAACTACTTCTTTGTGATACAAAGTGTTACACTTTTCGAGATACCTACCATCGCATATAAATTCGAAGTTGGATGTTATAAAAAACAAATTTTCAAATTCTAACGAGGTAAAACAATTTTTTATCACTTTTTGATCCCATTACGTGTTCAACAACTATGCAATATTTATTCAACATGATAAGAAAAAAGATATTCGATCAGATAGAACGTTTAAAGAACACGATGATATCGCAAGATTCGTAACACCGCTGCCACCATGTAATATACTTGATTGTGTTATAACTGATAATGATTGATAAATGAGACGACACTTTACACTAGAGGGTATTTATTTAACGTCATATGAATCAGCGGTATTTATTTAACGTCATATGAATCAGCGGTACATTCAGTACGACATCTCAGAAGTTACTGACGAATCGCATCTGCGACGTTCCCAATAGTATATCACTACTAATATATAACATATAATAATATACGTGGTTGAATTTGCTATATCTGAAAGACAATCAATATCCCTTTCAAATGGTTTATCAGGTTTCTAAATAGTAAGATTCCGGAGATAATATAGTAGGTTTGCTTATGTAAAAATCGAAATTTGACATACTATATTTATCGTAGATAGCGATGAAATGTCATGATCATGCAAACATTACATCGTACACCAGAATGAACGAGGCAAATGGAATTCCGCGCGAGTTTTACACTATACTTTTTTCTACTCTGTAACGGATGATAGCGACTTCTTATATTTCTTCGGCTTGAAGCCGTCGAGTTCCTCTCAAGCTCATTTGTTAGACCCAGCTGTCATTGCTTGAAATTTGACATTTTATGGGAGATGAGATTTTGTGAAATAATAACACAATGAAGTCATTGTGATATCCGATACGCGGAAATAAAATTGATGACATACAGAGTAGGTAATTTTGTGTTATAGCCATAGAAGAATAGTTACGTATATTTACTTTATAAAATCGTTATAGATTATTGCTAAAAAGAATATAAAAAAATATTTATTCAGTGGATGGAAATGAAATAATCCACTAAAGTATATATGTAGTATACCGGGTAATTCATATTCGGGGTCCACCATTGGGATCTCAGAAAGTATAGTTGCGCATTTATGTGACTAAAAATATGCCGTCGAGAAAATTTCTAAATTTCGAGTATACGAAAAAACAGAAATCTAGGTGAATCATTTTTATTCTTTCTGACGTTATTTGTTGAAGAATATCAAAATTGATAGCACATTTATAATTGCCACTTTTTCTTTGCTATACGATGGCATTTTCAGATCCACTATCCGACGCATATTTTTATATATGGGTGCCAAATTGGATTTTCACTAATAATAATAGCATGATAAATCTGAAAAAGTCATCGTATAGCAAGAAAAAAGTGGCAATGTTAATGTGCTCTCAATTTTGATATTCTTCAAAAAATAATGCAAAAATTTTTTTTAATGATTTACCTACATTTTTGATATATCGAAGACTGGAACCTTTGGCACGATAATACACTACGCAATGTTTTACTACTAACCAACCGATTTTTACGCCTCGACACGTGTTTCGCTAACTATGTTAACATCTTCAGGAGAATATTAAACCGTCGATTGAAACTAAATGTTCTATCCTAGTATGCTTCTTATATTCTAGCTATATGTCCACTTTGTCCACCCAACCTATTTTGACCCAGACTGATAAATGCTTTAAAAACCTAAGTCTTTGAAAACCTTATCAAGTCCTTTCGTGTACTTCGGATTGGGATTCTTTTTGAATTGTTTTTGTCCGTTTCAAAAGTCATAAAATTCCAAAATGTCAACTTAAATTTATGTCTACGTATCAATGTATCTTAACCATTGACGCCAACTTGTTTATAAACAACACTCATTTCAACATCGAATCTTTGTTTGCTCAGAGGAAATGAAACTAGTCTATGTACTAGGAAATTCAAACTTGCCATTTTGTGTTGAAAACAGTGATTGGAGTCATTAGTTATGTATCTCTATGTGTGTTAGTTCATTTTCTAGAAAACATCAAATTCTGAATTGTTTTTGCCATTTTTGATCACCAGAACATCTAAGAATGGCATGGACTGTTATTTTTCCATTCAAAAAGTGAAATCGATAGAGGGGAAGCAATTATTCAATTGTGAAATAAAGTTATCTATATCTGTTATTTTTGTATCAGAATAGCAAAAATATCGTCGACATACTAACAACACTTTTTTTCGTATATCTCGAGGAATTCATCTTTGTATCTTCTATACAGGGTATATCACGACGAGCTTACACTATCTCTATATCAAGAATCAGTCGAGAGAAATCCATGAAAATATGCATGCCCATATTTCGGAATACTATTTCTTCATTTAATTTTCAGCAATGCAGTGTTGCTGCTTCTATCAAAAAGTATCAACAACTTTGTTATTCTGAAGAGAATACCCTGTATTCCATTACGTTTTTAGATTCTCCCTGTGATACATCACACTACTTGGGGTCTATCGGAAATGATTACAGGGATATATAGGGTGTTTAAAATCAAGATTTTTCAACTTTAGGATTTGTTTGTGTCGAAACTATTCATTATCGGCCGGAACGAATCACATTTCTCTATCTTAACTTCTGATTAACTATTTACTGATATTCAATCGGAACAGATATAGGGTGATCAGAATTCTGAATCTTGAACCACCCTGAATCTGTTCCGATTAAATATCAGTAAATAGTGAATCAAAAGTTGAGATAGGTACATGTGAGTAGTTTTGCGTTTTGAGTGAGGGTTGCTGGGCTGTGTGCATATATACCAAAGAAGGGAAGATTTGTATTTCGTGCAAAAAAAAATTTATTCAATATTCGTAGCAGAGCGCTTTCGACTGTTAAGTCATCATCAATTCATCAGTGCGTACTTGTGAGGTTAACAGGAAAATTCGGTCATAAAATTATCATCTTTGGTCCAGTTCAAAACTAACGACATTGAGTTAAAATACGTTACAAACAAATTGAAATGTGATTACCGAAAGGGGGTAAAATATGAATTACATTTTGTTAAACAGCCATTGTCGCTGCGACATGTCGTGTTCCCTTTTGGGAATCACATTTTAATTTATTTGTAATGTATTTTAACTCAATGTCGTTAGTTTTAAACTGGACCAAAGATATTTTAATGGACGAATTTTCCTGTTAACCTGACGAGTACGCACTGATGATGATTTAACAGTCGAAAGCGCTCTGCTACGAATATTGAATAAATTATTTTGCACGAAATACAAATCTTCCCTTCTTTGGTTTTGCGTTTTGCCCGATAATGAATAGTTTCGACACAAAAAAATCGTAAAGTTGAAAAATCTCGATTTTAAACACCCTGTATCTCTGTAATCATTTTTGATAGACCCAAAGTGTGATACATCGATGGAATCAGCTCTTCAGGGAGAATATTAGAATGCGATAAAATACAGGGTGTTTCATTTGAAATATCAATGTTGCTACTACTTTCTAGTAGAAGCGGCAATAGTGCATTGTCGAAAATATTTTAAATGAACAGAAATATAAGCATGCACATTTTCATGGATTCCTCCCGAATGATTCTCGATATAAAGATGTGTAAGCTCGTCGTGACATACCCTGTATAGTTTCCGAGATTCCCTCGAATTTGAATTACCCGATTTCCCTCTATTTATGAAGTTCTGTGAAACATACGAGGGAGGAAGTTGAAGGGTATTACCCTATAGCTATGTTCTCACCTGATAAAATCGTTTACACATAACTGGATCCGCATAATTTCCATTTCCTGTGCTTGTTGGACATTCGAAATCCTCAGTTTTCTTTTCATCTGCTTTGGCTTTTCGTGGCCTCTCATCTTGACATCTGACTAGAAAATAACTAAGTATGGATGAATAAAGATGAATACGTTTAAATCAAACATTATATTATGAAATGAGTGAGATCGATTCAAAAATAAAATAACAAAATCTGTAGAACTTTTTTCAGTGCGCAATTGACCAAATTTCAATACATTTCTCAGTTTTGCTATTCTAAACCTGAATCTTGTCACTCCTGATTACTTTTGATATTTCACTTCGCTTGCAACTTGCAAGATATTTGATGAATTTCAACTTGATGCAATATATAATTCATATTTGATCTCATTGAAGTCTTGTAGATTTCTACTTCTATTTCTTAGAAAATTGATTAAACTAATAATGTCGCAACACCCTCCTAATTTGGAACCCGTTGATCCATTGTATGGGGATATTTCAGCTATGCCTGGATAGAATAGGCTATCCACTATTACGAAAACAAATGCCTAAAGTCGTTTTCGAAATTTTTATTATTTCAACAAACAAAAGTATAGACCTTGAGAATTTGGATATTTCAGATTTGTACACATTTTTGAAGAGAGCTCGTTGATTACTATCTTATGGAATTTTTGTTTTGGAGAATCGGTTGAAGTGTTCCAAATTAGAAGGTATTTACGAGTTGAAATTGCACACACTGTACAGTGTGTCCAGTTCTCGATTCTTTTACGTGATATCTTTGGAGATAGAAACTTGCGGTTTTTGCGGTCCAATGCCAGTTTTTTGTGAAACTCAAGATGGCCTAATCAGATTTTGCATAACTGTTTCCGTTTATGAGATACAGGGAGCTTTTGATCTTTTTTATTTTTGGACCCCCTTTATATCTATGAAGTTTCTCAGCGAAAATGTCAAATTAAAAAATTATCCTATAGAAAATTTTACGCAGAATCCAGTGGAGCACTCAATTTTTTTTCGGGGTATGGTTTTGGAGATACGACTCAAAATTAGGATTTTTTAAATGGAAATACCCTGTATTATATAAGCTCATCAAATTCCTTATTTTATTTCAACAAAAAATATTTCGAAAACGGTAAGACTTTTATAATGGGAATTTTGTCATAGCAGGTGGGTTATCCTTTGATCTACATTGTAACAAAACAGACTAGGGACTTGATGAGGAGGCTTCTCAGGGACGTAGTTGAAGTAACACAGTCTATTTCGTTACAATAAATGATTTTCAATACAAGTTCCCAACGATTTATTCAAATATGATTTCACACTGAAATATAAACAACAATTAGTAGGGCGCTTTCTAGAGTCCGAGTTTCTGAACCAAGGATATTCAATTTCTTACCTGAAGGCAGGAATATCGTTTATTAATATAACAAACAGGATAACACCAGGAAGCTTCCAGTGATGAAAACAATAACTTTGCGAGAATCTTGCGAGCTTGACAATCACTCGTAAACAAGATATTGTTTGTCATAGAAATAGCCATCAGGCCCACTTCACAACTAATACGAGAAAAATCTCTCGAAAATAACAAACTATACAGCATGTTGCATTTGTAATGCTGCAACATTCTCCCTAGGTTTGACGTGGTCTTTAAGGGACACCCTGTATATCATTTTGAAGAAAAAAATAATCAATTAGATAAGATAATATGATACAGAGTCTTCCATTTAAAAAATCAGAAGTTTCAGTCGTATCTCCAAAAGCATACCTCGAAACAAAAAATTAGTGCGCTACTGGATTCTGCATGAAATTCTTTGTAGGATAAGATCTAAATTTGAAATTTTCGCTGAAAAACTTCGTAATAATATAGAGGGCGTAATGAAATTTTAAATTTTCGAAATCCTGCACCTCCTGATCGGAAACAGTTATGCGAAATCTGATAAGGCCATCTTGAGTTTCACAAAAAACTGGCAAAGAACGAGGAAAACCGGAAGGTTCTATCTCCAAAGATAACTGAGATTTGACGCACAGTGGCTGAAATTCGAGCCCCATCATTGGGAAGAGAAACAGGGTATGTTAAATTAAGGCAAAGTTTCGAAATTTCACGTCTAACAAAAAGCCGTTTTGAAATTTGAAAAATTCCGAATAAGTACTTCCAAAGATTTTTGTAAAAGACCGAACATTCGCGATTTAATTTTTATCATTGTATGAATATATGTAACAAAACAAATTACACATTCTCATTGCTACTTTTTCTGTTCTACAAGATGGTTTAATCATCCACGTCTCGTCATTGAGCTGCCATCATCAACTTTGGTTTTTTTCCTACGGCTCTGGAATCAATAGAGCTTGAGATTACCTGAAATCAACCGTGTATCGCACTTATTCGAAAAAGGTGTTTGTTTTTAATCCTATCAAAATGCTATTCTCTGTCTCTCTCCAACACATGAGTTCTTATGGGGAATTCAATTATTATGAATCTTTCCGATAAGTGCACATCTTTGATTTCGAGATGCCAAAAGCTCTCAAAATCCATGATAAAAAATCTAGGGCATTATTTATGAAAAACCGAAGTTGTTGATGGCAGCTCAAAGCGAAACGGCGGTTTGAAAATCATATAACTTCATCTTCTAGAACAGGAAAAGTATAGCAATGAGAATATGTAATTTGTTTCGTTACATCTATTCAAATCGAGTCATAAAAAATAAAAATGAAATCGTGAATATTCAGTTTCATTCAAAAATCTTTGGAAGTATTCCGAATTTTTCAAAATGCAAAAGGGCAAGCTTACATATAAACCATTAAATTGCATAACTTTGCGATAATTTAACCGACCCTGTATCTCTCACGGTTTATACGAGATCCCGATGATGAGGCTCGAAATCCAGCCACCCTGTATGTACATGCTCGGTGTGTTTGGAGTTTGTTATCAATATCTATATGGTATTTCATAGACACTGTATATTTCATACAACTCTACACTACGAAAATCAAGGATTAAAAGTAAATCCTGGCAATGTTTCTCAAACGCCATAGCAACGCTTTCAAGGCACATCACTTTCAGATGTCAACCACGTCATTTTGAAAATAGAGTACCGCTACGAGTACTAGAGTACTGTCTTTATCAATATTTCCTTGATTAACGAGAAAAAACTCAAACTCGTCTCCACAAGTTTACTGGTGAAATGTGCAATTAGTTCTGCTCCATTACTTTTGATTGAGACATGTTTCAACCATTCAAATGGTCATCATCAGTCATAGTACCAATAAAGTTGATGTGGAAGTGGCCATCACATCATGAAGACGAAAAAAATTCATATTAAAAGGACATTATTGAATTAAAATTGGAGTGGAGTGATTGGCTTTCTCCACAAAAAATATTTAAAAATATAATATTTTTTCAATGTTTTTCTCGTTGATCATCCTCCTCCACTTCCAGTATGGACTTCAGGAGATTTTCTTAGTTATTTTATTTCAGTTTTCCTCTTCTCAAGTCCATATAGTATAGTATTTCCACCACGAGCTATAAAGTCTACCATTATTTACTCCTTTTTAGGGCGTGAAGTGCGTTGTCGGTACCAAGGTAGTTTTTGTCATTTTATGTACCACTATAGTCAATGAAGACATAGCCAACACTGTTATAATTAACCTCAATTCACTGCTCTGATGCGACATTCGCAGGAATAGCGCTCCAAACTAGTAGCACAGATTTCCCCAATCAATAACGACTTGTCATAAGCTGTCATGGTTATACAGGGTGTCCGGAGATAAAACCGACAAGACTTGTGGGGTTATAGGGACTGTCAATATGATTGCAAAATGCCATAAACCAATGTCCAAAACCGCTTCGTTATTGACATACAGAGTGATTTGTGGATTTTGACAAAAAATTCAATCCGCCATATCAAATACAAGGATTAACCGATTAGATTCAAATTTGGTACACGAATTACCCTGAAATCATCAACAAGTAGCCCTTTGATCGAAACCAATATCAGGATCGGAATGATATTTTTCCCCTATGTTGAGTTATTGTGAGAATAACTCACCCTGTATAATAATAACAAAAAATTTCAACTCAGATTCGACATCTACGGTAAAAATTGTACAGGAATTTGTTGAAAAATCTCCTGGCACTATCTTAGTTATACCGTAATTAATTATTATTTTAATTTTTTTCTTTCAAAATTCAATCATTGTCGGATAAAGTACTATCAAAATTGGTAATATAATAAATATTAACGAAACCATAACATGAATATCGTTATTTTCTTCAATCAGTCCGTAAATCGTAGTAAAATAAAATACTCTCATTACCCGAAAAAACTGAAAAATAAATTAGTATCAGGACTGGAATGCGGTTTTCTATGATTATATTCCTGTAAGAATAGATGATCTAGTATAACAATGATCTGATCGCAGATTCGAAATGCACTGAGAAAAGTTAAAAACTTGTTGAAAAATAATCGGATTAAACTTTCAAATAATGAATCCGTATCAGTACCTTATAATGTTTGTGTATAAAGAATACTAGACTTGTGTCCAATTCAGAATTTCATTATGGAAAACCATTGTTCAGCTGTCATCAGCGTTTGTTTTATTGGTGTTCATTCATTATTCCAGTGTTTCTAGGATCAAACTATAGTTCTGAGAGTGTGCTTATAATGCCGTTTCATTTCACTTATGAGGAATACGCATATATTCTATTTGTGTTTGGGCTTTAACTGGTGGTGTTTACCTAAATTTCCTGGTCAATACTTGACCGGATCTATTGCAAGGTGTAAATACCTGAGGTATATGGTTTCAGCATGATGGTGCTAGACCTCACTTTTCAGTTCCAGTTAGAAACCATCTCGATGCCAATTACCCCAATAGATGGATTGGCCGTGGAGGTTCAGTAAATTGGCCACCGCTATCCCCTGATCTAACTCAGCTAGATTATTTTTTATGAGGTCATTTAAAGTAAGAAGTTCATAATGAAGAAATGTTTCATGGGAAATTACTGCTGCATGTGTTAGTGTTAGAAATAACCCTCAAATAATTCGCAAGTCAGTGAATCATCTAATAGCACGCTCTCAAAAATGTATTGATGTTGGAGGGCTCCACTTCGAAAATGTTT